TCTCTCTTTCTCTCTCTTTCTCTCTCTTTCTCTCTCTTTCTCTCTCTTTCTCTCTCTTTCCCTCTCTTATCCAAAAATACTCATCTCGTCCTCGTTCTATTTTGTTTCATCCAGCCTTCCCCCGAGCCTTCCCCCGAGCCCGAGCTCGGACCCGAGCTCGGACCCGGACCCAAACGCCGCCCATGGTACCTAAGGCCAGGTGGTCAAAGGCCGCCCGATAAGCATACCTTGTATGAAGACATTATCTACGACCATAACCCGCCCAAGCGCTGGAAAGCAGACGACGACGAACCATACTTCCTGCTCAAACCCGTCGGGTGGAATGCCTCGTCTGAAGTCCCGGAAACGCCCAAGCCCAAACCTGAGCCTTGGAAGTGGGAGCCCCCGAAGAAGACTTGGGAAGACTTGAAGAAAGACAGGGATGCGATTATCGCGGCGGCGGCGGCGCAGCAGGAGGCGGAGAGGGCGAAGTTGTTGAAGGAGGCGAAGGAGAGGGAGGCGAAGGAGAAGCGCAAGGGGAGGGTGTTGACGACTGAGGAGAGGGAGGAGCGGGATAGGAAGAGGAAGGAGAGGAAGGAGAAGGAGAGGGCCGAGAAGGAGAAGAAGAAGAGGGAGGACAAGGAGACGAATAGGGAGAAGAGGCTGTTGAAGCTTGTTGGCGCGGTTGTGGTCAAGAGCATGTCGAAGTACAGAGCCCAGATGGATGTGGAGACGTTCAAGAAGCATGCTAAGGAGGTACGGCGTTCGTGATTGTCTTTGTGCCCACATACTCACTCACAGCGCTCTTCGCTTACCAGCTCACGCACATCATCGCTGAGAAGGAGAAGAAATCCACAAGCTATCGGGAGAACAAGCTCGACAGCCTGTCGGAAGAGAAAGCGGTCAAGATCAAGAAATATGCCAGGGATTACATCGCCAAAGTACTGCACAAGCTTGAGACTGCCGGTAAGCTTCGCAAGCGACCACCAGAGTCCTCCCTCTCTGCCTCCACGTCTACCCCTACTCTCGGCGGCTCTCCATCGGTGGACTCATTGCGGAGAGGGGATGCGGACGGAGATGGTGATGGGCCGATGATGTCTGTGGAGGAGGCTATGGGGATGAGTGAGGATGAGAAGGAAGATGACGAGAAGGATGAGGATGCAGACAAGGATGATGACGAGGATGATGACGAGGACGTAGACATGGAGGAGGCCCCGTCGATGTTAGATGAGAGGACACCGGTCGAGCCTGCAGAGTCGGACACTTCGACTGCTGTGGCCACAGATTCCAGGAGGCAGGGAAGGGACTCAAACGAGCCGCTGTTGGATTCAAGTCCGAGGGATGGTGATGTGTTGATCAAGATGGCGGCGAATGGGGTTGGTAAGCCTTCGCCGTTGATAGTAGAGATCGAGGATGATCAGATGAAGGTGGATGTGGCGCCCCGCAGTGGAGACGCCTCATAGCGTGACGGGAGGTGCGGTTGGCTCTGTGCTCTATTGGCTTGCATGTCCAATTGGCGGTTGGCACTTTTTTCTGCCTGTGCCGTTGTTCAGTTATTTGTGTTGTTTATTTCATCCTCAATTCATTGCTGCAATTTTGAAAGTTCTGATTGTTCGAGAGGGTCGATATGTGAGATCGACTGTTTGCCTTTTCCTCAAGTTGGACCTGGTGATGGATCACCGATTACATCGAGGTGAGCCTCTTTAGAATTTATCTGTCGTCACTGAGGTTCTGAACCCCTATTGCCATGTTCTACCCGGCCGTCACTATTCCCACTCCCGAAATTTCACGGTCGACAGTGTCCCAGGCCTCAGATACCGTGGAAATTGTTCAAACGTGAAGGAGATACACGATCTACACGAACACCTATGCCGAGCACCACGCACTCGTGTTTATCGAACACCGTGAGCCGCACTCCTTTCTACCTTTGGCTCTAACTCATGGTGCATGCTGAGTGAGCATCTTACAGCTGCCGTTCGTAGAATATAGATGTTCTGCCGAGTATTCTGCTCGCCTTTCTCTGAGCCCCTTGAGTTATTCTGAGAACGGCACAAAAGCCCTATTCGCGTCTTGTTCCACGACTGCCTTTCGGGACCGAGTCAGTTGAGGTGGCATGTATTCTTACTGACACCAGCTCATACTCAAAAGGCTGCACTACAGATGCAACTCAGGATATAAAGTCTTAAGACGGTATTCATCGTTCGTCGTTCCATCTCAGATCCAGAGTTACTGATGACACCGATCGTTCACACCGCCCATAGATCAATACTTGTCTGTGGACCAAAGCCTGACAGTTGTGAGTACCCTGTTTCTTGTTGAGTCTCCACTGTAGCAGCCGTCTTTCGGCGCAACCACTAACGATTTCGCCGACACGACCAAACTGTCTTGTTATACATGTAGGATTTCCCTCCATCGTGTAATTATATGGGAGCTTGTCGGTTGCAGTTTTCTCAGCCTCCTTTCCACATCGAGTACTCGAATCATATCCGTTCAGCGGAACCGGTAGGGCGTACAAGGAAACCCTCGTATTTGGTGGCGTTCGGCCAAGGTCGGCCAAGGTTCCAAACGCAGCGACTTCGGGGCTTCGACTTCCCACATCTCCACCATATCCGGGCATGCTCACGCTGCTTGATCCTCTTCCGCATGATTCACGGCGTTGGCGGCATTTCAAGTCAGGGAATGTTGTGGACTGAAAGACGCTATATGGGTCCCCATCTTATCGTATCGCAATAACGCGCGACCCTCCCCAGTTCACAGGTCTGTCTACTTGTTCCGTTTGCAGCATACACACGGAGCTCCCGTGAACCATCTGCTGCGAGGCTTCAAATGCCTTGAGGGATCGCTCTATTCCTGCTTTCTGCCCCCCCGTCCCACTTCCTCCTGCTTACCGCCACCCATCACCCGTCATCGACGGTCTCCCGATTTTCGAGTGCGCCATGGCTGACCTCGATCTCAATGATACGATGGGCGTGACCTTTATTGGGTGAGTTGGCTTCTTATGTCTGCCTGTGTGAAGATGTTGACGATCAAGGGAACAGAATGGTCTTCGATGCGATGTGAGTGAATAATTGGTCGCGCGACCCCTTTTGCACTAAGACTGAATGGGACACCTCAAGTTTGTACGGCATCATGACCTTCCAAACATATCGGTTCTATAACAATGATACTAGCGATCGCCTGGCGTTGAGGTTCCTGGTGCGCATAAGTTACATGTCTCATTCTTACAGTTCCTTGACCCGATTTCGTCCTGCAGGTCGGCTTCCTATGGTAGGATGTTTCTTAAATACGCCAGCACCTAGCTCAACAACGTGGATAGGGTTCTGGAAACCCTCCAAGTGGCCCTCATAGTCCATGTTCTCTACTATTTCCTCATTCTACACTACGGAGAGCCAGACGTGTTGGCGGTGACCGTTTGGTATGTGGGGTGCTCTCGTCGCTTCCAGTCTATCACTGACTATCTTGCAGGAGTCTCAATGTCGGTTCTTCCCTGTTTGCGCCTGGGTACGATGATTTGCTGACCTTGTCACTCGATGTCAACAGGTCGAGTCAGGAGTAACGGTGAGTTATAACAAAATTCGAGGTTATTTCAGCTGCTCACTTCATTATAGGTTGTCATCACTTTCATAGTGCGGACGTGAGTCTCTTCCTATCGAGTGACTCTTCGTAAACTTCACAGTACCTTCATCCCTATCAGCTTCTTCACAGTCCGACTATGGCGCAGTAAGTTTGATTGCTTCGGTTCGTTCATCAGCAATAGAGCCTGACCTTCAAAATTAGTCAGTGGAAAGAACAAGCTTCTCGTTGTTGCCGTTGTAAGTACAGCAGCATATCTGTTTGTCGTTGATTCACTGAGGCTGAGCTTTGTAAAGATGGTTCTTTCTCTGGCCCAATTAGGTTAGTTCGTGAATGTCACTGAAATGAGATACGTCGAATAACTTTGTGAAAATATGAAATCACATAGGCCTTGGCTTGGGTGAGTTTAGCATGGCTGATCAGGCCAACTTGGTACTGACATTCTGCTAATCTGTAGCGATGTGTGCTCTAACGTATGTCACATCTCTTCGTACAACTGTCGCCCGCTAATGGAGCCTTCGAAAAAGGTTCATCATCGTCCGCTTCGACCAACTGCCCAAATACATCGTTAGTTATACAGCTCGTCATCTTTTGATTGATTTTCTAAGTGTAGTTTCGTAACTTAGGTTCCTTTAACCATCCAACTTGGTATATCTGTTGCCGCGGACGTCTCCATCTCCGGACCTCTAGTTTACTACTTGAACAAAAACCGCTCAGGATTCAGGAGGTCAGTGCTATTGGATCCCTTCTGGTCAGCCTTTGTACTGACGCCCATGATTTTGTGATCGACAGGACGAACTCTCTGATAAATCGCTTAATCAAGTGGTCCATAAACACCGCGCTCATCACAGGGTGTGTGAAACTTGCGACCTGTATGCTACGTACAACTTCATGTGAAGGCTGATGAAACTTGTTTGCTCAGGATCTTCGAGCTTCTACAAATGCTTACCGTAAGTGAGACAAACCGTGAAAGTCCTACGATGCTCGTCTGACTTTTGCATGTGCCGCACCACAAATCGACAGTGGGTCACAAACTCTCACACACTGATCTTCCTCGGCTTTCACCTGGTGGTTGGAAAACGTGGGTAGCTCACCAGCGCTCAGTTCTATTCCTGACACAATTTCCCTTAATCTATGGCCGGTATCGCCCTCATCTACTCTACCTTCAGTGTACACCAACTCCATGCTCGCGATGTATGTTTTTCCACTCCACGCATCTCATGAGGAAGTGCGAACGGAACTGATCACTCCGGCGACTTCTTCTTTCTCTCGCTTGCAGGCTGAACGGGCGCAAATCGTTGCGGAACGACTTCGGCAGTCAAGCGATGCAGACGAGCACGCTCGTTATTTCCCCAGTAGACGGAAGTACGGGCCAAGAAACGGAGATCATGCTTAACTCTCAGTTTTCCTTCCCACAGCGCACTGCGAACCCAAGAAAGGTCAGTTTTTTTGGTGCCCATGACCGCAAAGATTGGAGTCATCCTCCAATTTGCGTGTATGGAAATCTCTTTCTTCCCTCACTAACGAGAACGCATTTTCCCTTTGCGAACGCAGCCCAGCCTCGCGCACTTGGATACCGGCTCATACGTGGCCCGCAATTCTGCATCGATGCCCCCGATTTTGAACCAACGCAGGACCACGATGAGCATCGGAAGCCCCACGCTTCCCCCGTCCTTCCGGACCCACTCTCGCAATGTCTCCTTCCACGAGTTCGATGGCCCCGAATCAGCCAAGCTTAGACATTCTCAAGTCCCTTGGGCGACCGATGAGCACACGTACCCGCCGGAAAAGGACGAGGAGATGATCGCGAGTGATGGTGTTCGAATGTGGCGTAGGCAGAGTGGCGTGCTTGTAAGAGACGAGGATATTCATGTGGAGCGGATGGAGGTCGTAGTTCCGCCGGCAGACGTGGTGGAAGAGGAACTTGCACAGCTGCACAGCGCTGTAGCTCTATGAGATCGCAGAAGGGCTCAAGGACTCGTGTTTGTCATTTTATTCTGTTGCCGCCGCGGAGGATTTGGGGGGCTTGTATGTAGAGGTATTCTGGTGTATTCGAATTGACTTGCATGTATTCCTATGTGTTCTATCCTTCTGTCAGTTTACGAATTCATGATATTGTCTAGTTATGACCCTTGTTTCCTCGACGACCACACTCTGCCACAGGTCGTGTAACATGGATTTACAACCGAACAAGCTGAAACACTCAGATACCGAAGACAATCTGCAGGATGACTTGTATAGATGGTGCAAGAAGGGGACTATAGAAATCACTCGAACCTGACCATCTTAACCATCGCCCTCAATCGCTCGATATCCGCCCTACACTGCTCCGGCGCCGACACCTTCATCGGATCCTCGATCACCAACTCCTCGAGCGGCACTCCCTCCCTCTTCCTCCCCGCCATCTGCCCAACCAAATCCCTCAAAAAGCCCTGCGCATACAGCCCAGCAGAAAGGTCATGGGCCCTTCGACTGTGCCTTTTGTTTTGTTCTCCGATGGAACACAATGCATAGACAACGAACAGGCCAAAAAAGGCTAGCGACAAAGCTCGGGCCCTCGGGGTCAAAGTGAAACGGGCCTAGCGATCGATTCTTTCGTCATTGGCACTACCATTGTCCCCAAAAAGGATGTATATGGGTAACTAGGACGATAACAAAGATAAGCCTTCAGGGATATATAAAGGGGTCTCTTGAGACGGGAGGAAGGTCAACCCACCTTGTCTCCTCGCATACGTTTCTCCTTGCTAGACTCTACTTCATAGCGCTTGGTCCCCACATTGCGACGCTCGTACCGTTGGTATCATCACCACTTCGACACCACCACAATTGAGACTGGAATGGACCACACGATGAACAATCAAGGAGGTCAACACAGCCAGGCCATTCCTGGGCAAGACTCTCGGGTCCGGAATGACACGTCTTCTGCTGGGCAGGATCATGGACGTCGGGAGGAGAATGAGACACAGGCCCAGGTACGCGATATTCTCTCCCTTCGTTGTAACTTGTGTCATGATCAATGGTCGTATCACATCCGCTGACACAGGTTGCTCTCCTCCTCCACAGAATGTACAGTCCCCAATCTCCGTTGCCCCGTACACCAGGAACGCATACGCCGGCACATTGCCAGAAGGTACATCTAGGGACATGAACGGGCACAATTTCGCCATGTCGTCCCTCGGCTCCAACGCGTATACCAACAACAGCACGAACGGCTCTCGCGGCATGATAGATCCGACTCTGAGGTCCGATAACGACAACGCTGTATTTCTTGCCCCACCCTATGCGCACGATCTGTCTGTGTACGAGCTTCAGTCGTCTGCCGCCCCTATGCCCGACGATCAGGAATTCTCCGACATGTCAGACGGCGAGATTCATGATACGTCCATGGACGACGAACTCCGCGCCTACGACGCCCTCCCTGATGTAGTCCTGGATTATCCCTGCCCTGTAGGAAGCTGCCCTCGGCGTGACAGGCCTTTCGCACGCTGGGAAGAATATATGCGACATATCTCTAGGTCCAATGATCGGGCTCACGCACGCTTGCGCGCTGAGATCAGGAGACGTGGGGTGTAGATTCGTTGTGTGTCCTTTGTTGATGTTGGGTGTGTGTGCACGACGGGGACAGGGATGAGGAGAGATGGTTTGGAATCTGGATAGGCGTGTGTGGAAGTGTGCATTTGCATCTGTCATCGGCGGCAGGGAAAGAAGTGGAGAGGCGCTGCGGGTCGGCTTGATTAGAGATTAAGGATGGTGATGAGCGTAGAAGTTACAGTAACGTTGCGGAGGGCAAAGCGAGCGTGCGTCGAAGTCTGGGGCTGAAGAGTATTTCTTTCTCGACTAGATCTTGATGACCATATCCTATCACGCTACAATCTGAGTATTGTGAAGTAAATGTATTTCAAAGATGAACATACTCGGTTTCCCCTCTCATTCCCTTGATTCTGATGGAAATGCGTGAGATACACCAGACCCATGGACGACCTTCCCCGAATCGACATGCTGCTCGACATCCTCCTGCTCAGCTGATCCAGCTCTATCATATAAGTGGCATGACGTATGCCTACCTGGAAGTGAGCAGAAAATTCAGACAACCGTGACGCACCGATACCCAGAAGTTTCGTACATCGAGCCATGCGAGGATGCTTGAACACCTTTCAGCCTCAATGAACGTTGAACGTCAGCCGCCCTAATAAGCATGCGTTAGAGATCAGTCGAGCAATATTATTGAAGGCTACAGCCCTCGTACAGGAAGAAGGCGTCAAGCTTTCACAACAAGTGGATATTGTCTAGTATTGCTCGAGTCGCCAGCCAAGTGATGGTCAGAAGCAAGCAGAAACGGGCCACTCATCGGCGCCACAGCGCGACACGAGAACCGCCGGTGTCCGGAGTGTCCGGAGGGAGCGCGATTGCCATCGGGGACCCCGGAAGCCCAAAGCGGTGGGGGACGACGAGGAAGGGAGAGAGCGAACGACAGTCGCCCCGAATCCGCTATTGCCCCGCCCATACCACCTAGACCGTGCCCGCCCTCGAGCCCACAATCGATACCCGATGGGCTCTTCAAAGAGACAGCAGAGAGGGCTCAAAGCCCCCATGCAAAGTGAGTCATACATCCTGCCCGAACAATTTTGCGCGCGGCACGCGCTGGCTGGCTGGGGGCGCGGCGGCTGACGGCGACGACGAGGGGTGTTGCACCGTCATCGTCGTGCTTGGGCGTGATATCATGATTGCTTGGCGAGGCTGACCACGGTCCACATTTGCACTTGCGTGGTCCAGTGCGATCCCGAACGACGAGGTCGAGCAAGGGCAGGGTGAGTGTCATCGTACTTATCCCCCTTCCAACACAACAACTTTCCGTTCACCGTATCTCATCTCCATCTCTTCATTTCCTTCCTCATCTCGCTCTTCGCCCATCAAACCATACATCCCGCGATCTCTCGATTACTCCAACGCATGTTCACCCATGCCCCGTGCCCACATACGCACCCATCAAATAAATCCATCCATCCATCCATCCATCCATCCCACTCAACCGACACAATTACTATCATGCAATGTCAATGACGACAACAGCTCCTTTCCGACCCAGCAGAGAATACCCTCCAACTAAACTCCCAACTCCGTCAACTTGGCCTCTACGCCGCCAACACCCTCGGCGACGGCAACTGTCTATTCCGCGCGCTCTCAGATCAATTCTACGGCACAGAGTCGCATCATATGCAACTGAGGAAAGACGTGTGCGATTGGATCGAGAAGCATAAGGCGAGGTACGAGCCTTTTGTCGAGGACGAGAGGGGGATCGATGTCCATCTGAGACTCATGCGCCAACCTGGTATGTTCACTTTGCTTGCTCTTTTTCATTTTATCATGCTCTCTATATCTCCTGGATTGTGCGTTGTGGATTGTGTGCACTTTTTCTGTGCGCGTGAGTGTTTCGGCTCTTGTGCGGAAGCATGTTGACGGGCAAAGCGGTTCACGCATCCATACCACGCCTCATGCTATGCGCGTTTCAGGCGCGCATCAGCCGGCGCTTCACATACTCTATCATCGAGAGCGGCGAAGCAGTCCGCATCGTCGTCGCTGTCTGCTTCCGTTCATAACCTGGGCGCGTTTGTATGTTGCATGACTTTGCATGCCAAACTTTCAACGCGATTGAATTGTGCTTGGCAAATGGAGTTAAAAGTCCCTCCCTGACGTCACCGCACCGCTAAAATCGCCTTCTCCGTTTCGTCCGCACATCGAACTTGCCATACAATACCGGTTTTAGGTTACGGCGGATTGTTTGTTGGCTTCTGTTTGTTGTTGTGGACCTTCGTAGCCGTGCACCCACCCACCAACCAACCAACCAACGCATGCGATCGTGTGGCGTCGATCTCGATTCCTTCATCCTGATCATCCCAGAGCGCTGTGCTGACCACTTATTCATTTCCTCCGAAATCTAGCTACATACGGCGGTCATCTCGAGTTATCTGCATTTGCGCATATGGCCCGTCGAGATGTGAAGGTCATCCAACCGGGTCTCGTCTACGTTATCGAATGGGCCTCTGGCTGGGACTCGTCTGCGCCATCTACTACCACTACTACCGCCACCGCGTCCACCTCCACCGCTTCCGCTTCTACATCTGCTACTTCTACGTCAGCTTCGGCTGCCACCTCAGCGTCCGCGGGGCCCTCCGATATACCGTCGACGGCGAGTGTTGATGATGCGATGGATGGACAGTCGAGGAGGGCGGCGAGGGCGGCAAAGAGAGATAAGTTGAGGGCGGAGAAGGAGATAAAGGAGACTGGTGGTGCTGGTGGGGGGAAGAAGGTCAAGAAGGAGAAGGTCGAGCAGCAGCAGGCAGGAGGGGATGAGGAGGGAGAAGAAAGGATGAAGAGTGGAGGGACGGTTTATGTCGCGTATGTTATTCTTTTCCTCTTTCCCCTCTCCTTCTCTTCCTTGCCCCC